GACGCTCTGGTGTCACCTCCACCGCTACTGCAGTGCCCCGGGAGCAGGAGCAGGGCTGGCAGGGAAGGTGCCAAGCTCAGGCAGCTCCTGCTCCACGTGTATTTTGGTCAGGTGGTTAATCAGGTGGAAAGGGGATGATCACAGAACCACAAAATCACGAAGTCACAGAATATCCAGAGTTGGAAGGGACCCATGAGGACCACCCAGTCCAGCTCCTGGCCCTGCACAGGCCCATCCCCAAGAGTCACCCCCTGTGCCCCAGAAGATCATCCAAACCCTCCTGGAGCTCTGGCAGCCTTGGGGCCGTGCCCACTGCCCTGGGGAGCCTGGGCAGTGCCAACCACCCTCTGGGGGAAGAACCTTGTGCTGAGCTCCAAGCTGAGCCTGCCCTGGCACAGCTCCAGCCATTCCCTGGGTGCTGTCCCTGCTCCCAGTGAGCAGAGCTCAGTCCTACCCCTCCTCTGCTTCTCATGAGGGAGTTTTACCTGCAGTGAGGTCTCCCCTCAGCCTCCTCCTCTCCAGCTGAACATCCCCAGTGCCCTCACTCCACCAGCGCTCCGGGCTGGAGATGAGGAGATAGAGCCGTGTCCGAAGGGAACGTAAATATATCAGCATTTAACGTGTTACACAGGGGGAAGAGCTGGCAAAGCCCTGCTCATGAGGGACTGTTGATGTTCCCTGGCAGGGAGCTGCGAGCACCTCAATCCAGACTCTTCAAAGTGCCCCCCAAACCTCATTTTGCAGCAGCAGAACTTTGGGGCAGAAGCACAACCCCGTCAAAGCCCCTCGGGGACGCTGCAGGAAGGTCTGCTTCCCAAATCCACGGATTTGAAAGTGGAAACAGCCAAAACCGGAGCAGGACACAGCCAGGGAAGGAACAAAGCCATTGGAATTCCCTGGGTCTAAACTCTGCCCTTGACTCCCCTCCCGCTCCCGGGAGCCCTGATAAACTTGGGGCTGGTTTTTGGTGGAACAAGATTAGGGGTAGCAAGGACCTTGAAACGTCTCTCAAACAAAGCCCGTTGCACCTGGAGGGAGACAAAAGGCCCGGCTTGTAACAAAATAATCCCCCAGCCCTCGTGTTTCGGGCTGATTCAAAGGGCTGAGCTTGAAATGATCTGCCTCGCTTTGCTAGCGGGGGCTGGAGCTGCCGCTTCGCTTCAAGACCTGTCAGCAGTTTTACTGCAGCCTCTTGTTTCCAGGGATTTTTAGATCTGGCCATAAAAGCGTGGTCCCAGCTGAAACTTAATGTATAAGGTTACAAAAGTCGAGAAAATAAAGACGAACTCGGGTGTTTTAAGGCTATAAAAGAGTAAAAAAGAACCAGAAGCGTGGAGCTTAAGGTGATGGCAGTGGTTATTTCTTTTGCCTGGATGGAGGAATAGCTTTATTTTTATTTTATTTTATTTTTTTTTAATCTATGGGTAATTAATAAATCACCAGTTAAAAACATCCAAGCAGTTGGCAAAGAGCTGAAAACATTCAAGGCCAGGTTGGATGGGGCTTGGAGCAACCTGGGCTGGTGGAAGGTGTGGATTGGATTGGATGGTCTTTAAGGTCCCTCCCAACCCAAACCATTCCATGATTCCATGAACATTGTTCGGGCTCATTTGAAAAGAAAAAAAAAATTAGTTACCGTTATCCTTAATTTTTTATTATTTATAATCTATTTATAGGTTAAATTTATATTATTTATCACTCATATTATTGTTATACTGCTATTAAGTGATCGTAAGCACGTGTTTTTTTGAGGTGATATTCCTAACCCCTCTAGTTAGACATTAATTTATGCAATTTGTTAACTCAATTTCAATGACTCTAAAGGAATATCCTCGGCCTTGGTGATATTTAAAATATCTCTGTTGGCCCTGAAAAAAACTGTGCTGTAAAGGAACCTTACATTCATACCTTGAACTACAGATTGACCTGCTCTGGTAAGCATGAAAATCAGTCATTTTGGGTGTAGTACCAAAAATTCAGGTTGGTTTTAGGAGAAGCTCAACCATAATAAATAGATATATTTATATTTGTTATATATGAGACTGAGATGGGTATGGAGGGTTTAAAAAGCACCTCAGCAGGGCTCACGTGGCCCTGCCTGTTTTGTTGTCCCCTCTGCACAGGGGAAGGGCTGAGCTGAGGCCGGGGCTGTCCCCGAATCTCCTCCTTCTCAAACCCTTGGACGTGACACCAAACGAGCGTCCAACTCAAACCATGTGTGGTGTGGCTGAAGCTCCTCCTCCCCTCCTGCTCCCCTCTGCCCCCTGTGCATTAAACCTCTGGAGAGAACAGGTGGGCTTTCTGCCTCCCCTGTGATATGAAAGAAGCAGAAAACTCGATTAAGGCGATTCACGGCCTCTCGGCTTGCTGGGGCTCCGTACCCGTGACACGAGAGGCTCCGAGCTCAGGCTCAAGGCTTGGTCAAATAGGAAGTTAAAATTAACCTCAAGCCTTTTAGAGAGGAAAACCTAAACAAATAAACAGCGGTTTAGTGGCGTGGCAACCTGCCCCCTTTAAATCCAAGAGCTACCCCGAGATGTCTATTTTTGAGTCAGTTTTGGTTTTTTTTTAAGGAAAGATAATTGGGCTTGGAGGGATAGAAGAGCAACTTGTGATTCCTGCTGGTGTGAGTTAGAGCAGAGTTCAGGGCTGCTGCTTGGAATTTAGCAGTGTAAAAACCACTCCGTGCTCTGTTCAGTGAGAAAGTTCCATTAGAAACTTCCCAGTTGTTTCCAGTTTCTAGAAGTGTTTCAGGATGCAAAGAATGGGCAGAAAGTTACAGCAGTGAGATGTTCAGAAGTTCTTCTGGAATCACAGAATGGTTTGGGTTGGAAGGGACCTTAAAGTCCACCCAGTGCCACCCCTGCCATGGGCAGGGACACCTTCCACCAGCACAGGGTGCTCCAAGCCCCTTCCACCCTGGCCTTGGACACTTCCAGGGATCCAGGGCCAGCCACAGCTCCTCTAGGAATTCTGTCCCAGCCCCTCCCCACCCTCCTAGCCAGGAATTCCTTCCCAATATCCCATCTAACCCTGCTTTTTGTCACTTTGAGGCCATTCTTCCTTGTCCTGTCACTCCAGGCCCTTGGAAATAGTATTTCTCCATCTTTCCTGTAACTTCCCTTCAGGCCCTGCAGGGCCACACTCAGGTCACCCCAAAGCCTTCTCTTCTCCAGGCTGAACAATCCCAACTCTCCCCTCCCTCTGCCTTTCCTTGACCTCCTGGCTAAGTTTGTTTGTAGCCCTCTGCTCTGAAATTTAATAAACAAAAATAATAATAGTAAAAAGTCAAATATCCCAACTCCCAAGAGGCCACACAGGGGATCAGCCCTAAACCCAATTATACTTTGAACACTGAGGAAAACCTGTACAGGGCCAGGAGTTGGACTCCACGATCCTTGTGGGTCCCTTCCAACTCTTGGATATTCTGTGATGCTGTGAAAAAAATGATGGTGCTGGAGCTCTTTCCCACCCTATTCCCTTTCCCCCCCTTTCCCTCTTCCCCACTGTGAGAGGTGACCCTGAAAAGATGAGCCCTGGAAGTTCAAAGGCATCTACAGCAGAGATGGCCCCAAACGAGGGAGCTTCAGTTTGGGGTTTGTTTTATGGGTAGTGACCACAACCCTCAAGTTGCTCAGTGAACAACACACATTTTGGAGGCAGAGGGGAAGGGAAACCAGGAGAACAGGAGGGGATCCATGAGGAAACCTTAGTGGTTCCACCACTGCCTCTTCCTGGGCTTCATCCCCAGGGAAAACCCATTAAAATGCTGTTTGCACATCCAAATGATAGCTCTGTTTGCTTTTATAGGAGCACAGGAGGCACCCAACGAGGTTCACTCTGCAAAGCAGGCAAGCAGGGGGTGGAACTGGATGATCTTTAAGGTCCCTCCCAACCCAAACCATGATTCTATGATGATTGATTCCCCATGCTTCCCAAAAATACCTGAAAACCAGCAGATTTGCAATAGATTTCACCAAACCAAAGACCTTCCAAACCTTAGGAATAAAAGGATGTGACAAGTCTTGCCTCAGGTAAGTGATAACCTTTTTTGCTTGCAAGAAAGAACACCCTGGTCTTACAAATTAATGCCAAAAGAACTTATTTTGATTCACAGAAACCATTCCTTTCCAAAACCCCAGCACAGAACCCTGACTGACACCATTTCATTCTGGATGGAAGAACAGAGGAAAACTCCACTAGGAACAGGATCTGCTAAAATTAACACTGTCCACACACTCTTTTTTTGGGTGCATCTGCCCCATGAACCTGCATTTTGATGGGGGCAGCTGATGGTGAGTGACCTGACTCCCTGCTCCCCAAGTTTCAGCTCATCCCAGGGACACAGCTGGCTTTAGCAGGGACAGACTCATCTCTGGGGATGGCAGGGGTGATTCCAAGCTGCATGACTCGGTTTCACTGGCATCACTGAGCAAATCAGACTCCTGAGTCACCACTTTGCACGTTTTCATCCGAACAGAACCCACTGGAAAACCACCAGCCCCACAAACACATGCAGAGCAGCCAGTCCTAAGGATGCCTCGGCACTAAGAGGTCGTTCCTGGGGGATGAAGCGCTTTGCAAAGCTCCCTTTGCTGCTGCCTCCCTGGGAAAGGTCAAAGCCAGGTGTTGACGGTATTTCCCTCTCACCCAAGCACGCTAATTGACAAATATCCACTGGGAAACACACCTACACGTGGAAAAAAGGCCTGACTTTGCAGGAAAATGACGGCTTTTAAAGGTGTTACGGCTGCGGCACAGGCGAGGACAGCAAACACCATGGGCTGCACTGAGCTGGCAAGAGAGACAGTGTGGACCCCCCTAAAACCTGCCAGGCTTTGGAAAACATGGAAAACCCCTCTTTGCACTCATGAAAGGCTCTCCCTTGTGAAAGGCAGCCAAGGAGGGCCCAGAAGAGACGGAGGGATGGGGGGTCAGCGATCGGCAGGCTCGGGGAGGAGGGGGGTGGGCGAGCAAAGGGGAGGATTTCGGGTACTTACCCTGGATCTGACTCTGAGGCTGAGGGTTAAAAGCAGTGGAGTGGTTCAAGGAGGCCCGTGGGTTGGGCGTGGGGGCTGGGTGGTGTGGGCTGACCCTCATGGCCGTGCGACGCAACTGCTCCAGCTCGCTCAGGCGCTCGGAAAAGGACAAGCTCCCGGGCTTTGTCTGCTCATCTATTTTCTGGCGATGTCCTATTGTGGGAGGGGGGGGTGGAAAAGATCAGAAAAATCTCACTGGTACACGAGGTCTGTTGATTTGGTTCGTTTTTTTGTAGTTTTTTCTTTTTTTCCCCCCCTCTGTTTTTTTAAAGCCCTGATCCGCCGGTGGGACTGCCTGAAATTAATCTGCAGCCCCTTCCCTGCAGCAACAGGAGGCACAATCATGCACTGCAGCTGTGCTGTGGCCTGGCCCGAAGAACCAGACCCACTGCAAAAATTTCAGTGCCTTTTTTTACACCTCCCACGAGGAGAGAAGGGGTTTCTAAAAGGAGGAAATGTCAAGTGACCCCCCCTGTGCTAAACCTGCACGGGAATAACTCCTCAAAAATCCAACCCCAGGTTGTCACAGGGCACCATAATTAGAGAAGTGCTCTGGGGCTACGAAATAACAAACCCAAGCAAGTCCTGTTTTTGGATTCTTTTGCAGTGGCTTCATGGACAGGAATAAGAAATAAAGCCCAGAAGCTGGAAGAGTTGAAGCTGGAATCGTGAACCTGCATCAGGAGCTTCAGAAACGTGAGGTGCCACCAGACAACCAGTTCCAAGAGAGTAAATGTTGCATTTACAGCATCAGCCAGTGCAGAGGGGTCTTGGTCACAGCCACATGGGAATTAGAGGGTGCAGTGCCCTCCTGGAGCAGCCCTTGGAGCACAGTCCCCATGAGGCTCCGGGGCTGGGAGGGGACAGGGAAGGTGCTGGAGAGCCCAAGCTCCAGGACAGCTGTGGGCAGATCCAAATTCAGCTGGAATGACTCAGGGCACACATTTCTATCTGTTCTCTGTAGCTGGATATTCTGCACTGGGATATCCTGTGTTCTAAAAGGTGCTCTCACCAAATGCAGAAGGTGAGGCAGGGTAGACAGAATCATCATGGAATCATGGAGTGGTTTGGGTTGGATGGGACATCAAAGATCATCTATTTTCACCCCCTGCCATGGGCAGGGACACCTTCCACCAGCCCAGGCTGCTCCAAGCCCCGTCCAACCTGGCCTTGGACACTTCCAGGGATCCAGGGGCAGCCACAGCTTCTCTGGGCACCCTGTGCCAGGGCCTGCCCACCCTCCCAGCCAGCAATTCCTTCCCAATATCCCATTTAACCCTGCTTTTCATCAGTTTGAAGCCATTCCCCTTGTCCTGTCCCTCCAGCCCTTGGAAATAGTCTCTCTCCATCTTTCCTGGAGCCCCTTCAGGCCCTGCAAGGCCACACTCAGGTCCCCCCAAAGCTTCTCTTGTCCAGCTGAACAATCCCAGCTGTGCCAGCCTTTCCAAAGGTACTCACTGCAATGGGTCTGTGAGGACATTCCCTGACCCCACCTGGACTCAGTCAATGGAGTAGCACCCCCAGCTCCAAAAATGGCATTTTCACACCTTCTGCTTGTGGACCTTCTTGAAGATCAGTGGATGCCACTGTCCCTCCTTTCCCCCCAAACCCAATCTATTCCTGCAGCTTGGGTTTGTCTCAGGAAATCATCTGCCTCGTGAATATTCATGGCTCATCCCTTCCCTTCTTCCCACTGGGCACTGTCACCCCTGCCAGGAATGCAATGTCAGTGATAAATCCCCAGCCCAGAGGTCAAACATCTCTTTTTTCTACTTGTTCCCTTGAAGAGATGGGGGAACTTGTGACAGGGCAAGGGAGAATGGCCTTAAACTAAAAGAGGGCAGGTAAGATTAGATGTTAGGAAGGAATTGCTGGCTGGGAGGGTGGGCAGGCCCTGGCACAGGTTGCCCAGAGAAGCTGTGGCTGCCCCTGGATCCCTGGAAGTGTCCAAGGCCAGGTTGGACGGGGCTTGGAGCACCCTGGGCTGGTGGAAGGTGTCCCTACCCATGGCAGGGAGTTGGAATGAGATGATCCTTAAGGTCCCTCCCAACCCAACCCATTCCATGATTCCACGAGAAGGTGTCCCTTTCCCTGTTTCCTGTGGAACACCATGATTTGATGTCTGCCTGCTCCTGATTTTCCTTTCATTCATGGAAGAATTGCCCTCTGCAGCTTCCTTTGCATCTCCAACCTCCCTGCAGGGAGGTGGCCGGTGCTGTTCCTCCCTCCAACCCACAGCTCCAGCAATGAAAGACTGGCACAAAACTCCTAAAAATAACCCACCATGCCCCATTCCACACACCCCCACGGCGCTGAACCCATCAACATTCCCACAAATCCAGCTTTCCAATGGATTCAGGGAATGAGCAGCTCTCTGAAGAGCCCAGTAGGCCCCTTCCTCCACAGAGCCCTCTTTCAAGCCACCCCAACAGCCCCATCGAGACACAGGCCCATTTCATGCACTAAAAGGAAAATGTGCATTTAAAAGCAGTTCCCAGTAGCTGCATTTCTAAAATTAAATTTTATAACTTGTCTTATGGTTCCAAATGGCAGTGGCTCGGCATTTCTTCCTGCTGCCAGGCCCTTTGGCACAGCTTGAGCTGTCTCAGATTCCACACTGTGCTGTAAATTATCCCAAGGGGAGGGGGGTGTGTGGGGGGGGAAGGAATTAAAATATAAAAAGACATATTATATAGTAGTGGTTTCATCATTAAAGAGACCCATTAGGGCTTAAAAAAAAAAAAAAAAAAAAAAAAGAAAAAAAAAAAAAAAAAAAAAAAGAGGGAGAAGCAAAGACAGATGAAAAGGACTTTTATCTGCCATTCTGGTTGGTCAAGAGCAAAGGCTTCATTTGTCAGCAGTGCAGAGCTGGAAGCTGCCTCCAGCCTTGGGCTCCTGACCCGGCACTGGGAAGCCAACATGCAGAGTCATACAAGATGTGTAAAATACCTCATACATTTGGATTATTTTAAGCCTCAGCAGGCTCAGCCCAGGCCTTGCAGAGCCAAGAGCCAGACCCTTCCAAATCCTTCCCCTTGATGTCATTTATTCCTGATTTCCAAACGCTCCTCAGACATCTCCTGCTTCTGAGTGAGGGCCCGGCGTGACCCCCCTGCCACCTTCCCTTCCCTCCCACGTGCCAGCAGTGCCAGCTCCTGTGCCAACAGCCCCACGTGGAGCTGAGCAGCTCCTGTGAAGCCAGCAGGAGGAAGGCTGAGGAGGCAGGAATTAACTCCCTGCTCTGAGTCTCGCTCAGGGACTAAATTTGTGTCAGGCTGGCAGGGCAGACAAAGCCCAGCCTGCTCTGAGTGAGCAAATGGTGAGCAGGGCAGATTAAACCAGGCTGAGCATCCTCCCCAGGTCACTACAGGGCATCCTCCAAGCTGGTGGGAGAATCTGTGCCTGTCTCACACGGTCCCTGAGGTTGGAAAAGCCCTCCCAGATGATCCACTCTGTGCCCCATCCCCACCTTGTCCCCCAGCCCAGAGCACTGAGTGCCACGGCCAGGCCTGCCTTGGACACCTCCAGGGCTGGGCACTCCAAACCTCCCTGGGCAGCCCCTGCCAAGGCCTGACCACCCTTGCCAGCAACAAATTCCTCCTGATGTCCAAGATGTCTCTGAACTCTGCATCAGCCAAGTGAAATCCCTGCCCCCACCTGCCCCAGAGCATCCAGCTGAATTTTGAGCACTGAAGGGGACGTTTCAGCCTTCACCCTCCTGCATATGGAGCCTCCTCCACAGCCTGGGGGTCCCAGTGGTGCATCAGCAGAGCCAAGCTCTGTCTCATCCCTCGGGCTTGTGGAAATCCCACTCGAGTCACTGCACTCAGGGAAGAAAGACCAGCACCAACAGGTTCCTTCCCAGGGGAACTCCGCTGTTGTTTTGGGTGTAATTTTGGGTGGGAAATACTTAGAATCGACGCCAGGCAATCGCCACCTCAAGGTGCAGCCCCAAAAGTGGCTTTTCCCACCCCACCGTCCCCAAGCTGTTTCAGCTTTCCTCCCATCCTGAGAGCTGCAGGAAGCACCACAGGACCTGCTTGGCACGAGGCTCTGCAGAAGGAAAAAACTGCAGGACTGTGTCAGAAAAGTGTCCCGAGCAGAAATGGTTTTCCCGAGCCGCTCTGCATGCTCAGGCACAGCTCGGTGAGGGTGACTTGTGTTTTGGTGTTCATTAGCTCCGCTTTGAAGTTCCCCTCTAAACACCTGGCTTGAAGAGCAGGCAGGTTGTCCTCAGCTCACCCCTGGGAAGGCCAGGACTGTCATTATCCCCCTTTTGTGGGTGGCAAACCCGGTGACAGAGGAATTAGGAGGCAGTGACCCTGTGGCCCACGCTCGTCTCCCGGCCCAAGGTGGTGACCACAAGGCCAGGCTTCCCTTTTCCAGGAGAGCAGGGTGAAAAGGAGCAGCAGGAATGTGCTTTGGAAGCCGGTTTGGCTCTGCTGAGCCGGCAGTTTGGCCACAGAGCTGACAGGATTTGGTGGATGTCAGTCCATCCTCCAGCTGTGGAACAAAACCCTTGGCAAGCAGTTTGCACGAGAGCTCTTACACTCCTTGTGTCCCCAAAGCTTTTTTTTTTTGACAAGGATCAGTCTGGGGGGGATTAACAGAGAAAAGAAAAACAAAATTCCCCCCCCACACACCCCCCCCTTGACTTGCAGGGTGGAGGTTTGAGACACTGGAATAAGCAGGACGTGCAGCCAGCTTGGCTAAACCACAGGGTTTGGGGGCTTTGGGGCTTCTTTTTTAGACCTTATCCCTTTCCAGTGCTGCCTCAGTGAGGTCAGGAGGGTTTGTTTCTTTTTTTTTTACATGGAATATTACACGAGGAAGGCTGAGAAAACATTGGCTTTTCAGATACTTTTACAGCAACGCAACATGAAAGTGCTTTCCCTCTTTAATGGGAGGGAAATGCAGCTTTATAGACTCCAAGAGACCGTGGAGCACTTGGCCTGGCCCACAGCCAGCTGCTTGGGGCTCTGGAAGCGGAAAAAGATGGGAACAAAGTGCCTTGGAAGCCCCTGGGGTTGTGCCCATCGGGAGCTCGCTGGGAATGGTGGCTCTGTCTGGGATTCACACCATGGTCAGCCCCACAGTGCTCCAGGATGCCTCCAGGTGCACAAACAGAAACACCTCTTCTATTTTAACCTGGT